CCTTAACAGGCTGTCCTCTGGTTGCTCACAGCGCTGCTCGAGGGCTTCAGCATCCGGGATAGCACCAGCTACATCGAGGAGCACATCGACCGGCAGGTGGGTGGTGCACGGCAGGGTGGGAACGGGGGTCAGCCTCCCCCGCGGAAGAGACGAGAGGAACCTGTTTTATGAGCCTTGACCTTCCCTTGGCTCTTTCTTCCTGTGCAGGTGTCACCCATAGAGAGCCTTCGCCTCATGTGCCTTTTGTCCATCACTGAGAATGGTGAGCCCCGGGGACCAAAGGTGCCAGGTCGAAAGCCGTACCCTAGGGATAGAAAATGTCATCTTGAAGACAGAAATAAATACCCTAGCAGTCAGGACGTTGCCCTGTAATTTTGTGTTCTTTCCTCTGTAAAATTAAAGCAGTTTTCCTTTTGAGTGAAACATCCCCAGGTCACAGGGTACATTAGCGTCCCCACACTAAGTGGGACCACATCCAGGCCCCCGTGGACAAGGGCTGTCACATCTCAGGGCCACAGAGGTGTAGAGCAGAGTGTCACCTGTCTCTTTGCTGCAGCTGTCCCCTTACCTGCAATAAGGTTTCATAATAAAGATGCCATCCAAGGAGAAGGGACAGCAAGCCACAGCTTGTTTTTCCGGTTGTGGGCTTCCAGCCAGCAAATAGTGTTTAAGGTTGCTCTCTACCCAGAGAAGGGGTGTGCTTGTTCCGAGTCCCCTTTATTGTGTTTGGAAGCCCATTTCTTTTTACCCCAGAGGAGAGACACATCTAAGACCCTTCCTGTTCCTCAGCAGCCATAGGAGGTCCCCAGGGGAACAAGCCCCTCGCCAGGAAAAGATGCCTGGAAGTCCTGCCTCCTCCTGCTGCCTCCCACCCCATCTCCCCATGATCAGCATTTGTTTCTGTGCTCTTCGAGCCCCTGTGGTTCAGGGCTCTTCCTTGCCTCTCCGACCCAGGCTTTATCTTTCCATGAGCAAGCTTAGATCGAAGAGTCTGTGTAGAATCAACTGTGTAGGGTACACGGTTAACGTGATTTACTGAGTCCTTCCTCCTGGTTCAGGTTTTCTTGGGGGGAAGAGGGTAGTTGGTTGGTTGATGGGTTTGGTCTTAGACTTCAGTACACCTCAGCTGGCTCACGAACCTGTCTTATGTTCCTTATTCTCAGGTTTGATCCCCAAGGATTACCGATCCCTGAAAACACAGTATCTGCAGGTAAGGCCAGAATGTCTTTTTTGTGTGTGTCTTCCTCTCGGTTTGGTGTTTGGTTATTTCTGATAAGAAATGTTTCACACAAACAACTATGAGCTCCTTAAGGCATAGACTGTGTCATCCTCCCTTCCTTCCCCTCCACGTCACCAAACAGTGCTAGACCCTGGTGGACGCTCAGTAAAGACCCAACTGCATTTTCTTCAGAGCTATGGCCCTGAGCACCTGCTGACCTTCTCCAATCTGCGGCGAGCAGGGCTTCTAACGGAGCAGGCCCCTGGGGACACCCTCACCGCTGTGGAGAGCAAAGTGAGCAAGCTGGTGACAGACAAGGCTGCAGGTGAACATGGAGGACAAGTGACCCTTCCCCCCTCCTCTTCCCTCCACCGGCAGCACCCAGGGAGGAAGAGGGGTGGGGGTGGGGGGATGGTGGATCAGTTCCGGGGAACCGTGGATGACCGGCTCAGAGCCGTGATGGTCCTGCTACATGGGAAGGGCGGGCCTCTCGTTTCCGGGATGGCGGCGTCTGCAGCGGTTTCATGAGTCCGTAGACCTTAGATAAGACCAAGCATGGATTTCTTCCCAGGAAAGATCACTGATGCCTTCAGCTCTCTGGCAAAGAGGAGCAATTTCCGTGCCATCAGCAAGAAGCTGAATTTGGTATGTGGGGCAGACAGACGGGAGGCCACGGGGTCAGTCCTTGTAGTCGTTTGAATCCACAAAAAACTCGTTTGGTTTTCATCAGGACCCTGTCTTTGGCAGCGTGACAGCATGAGCTTCGTGTGCTAACGAGACACACATTCGGTCAGGACACGTGTAACAAGCACCCGACAGGGCCAAGAAGGGGCTAAGTGCTGCTTCAGTGACAGATGCCTCCCATGTCACTGACATGTCCCATGTCAGCAGAGGGGACCCTCCCCTCCAGCCCTTCTCAGGGGGCATGGGAGCCGAGTCAGGAGGACCTCGGGCAGGGAACAGCGGCTGGAATCTTGAACGGATGCTCTTTTCAGGCCGCGGCTGCCTCTCCCTTCAGTTGAAGGAGGAACCATTCTTAGGGACCTGCCCCTTTTCTCTGACCCTGTAGGTGACCGGAGAGCTGAGTGTCACCTGCCTCATGGAGCCCCTTTGCCCTCTAGATCCCGCGCGTGGACGGCGAGTACGATCTGAAGGTGCCGCGCGACATGGCGTACGTCTTCAGTGGTGCCTACGTGCCCCTCAGCTGCCGCGTCATTGAGCAGGTGAGAGCCAGCACCCCGCATTCCCGTCGGTGTCTTACTATCCTTTCTCCTGGTCCCCGGTAGGTCCCAGGTTTTGCCTGCCCTGGTGACTAGTAAGACACGTGATGGCTGGGCCACTCTGGCCTCCGTTTCCTAACCTCATCTCTGGGTAGACAAGAGACTAGTGCCCGTTGCCCCCCAGGTGCTGGAGCGGCGAAGCTGGCAGGGCCTGGACGAGGTGCTGCGACTGCTCAATTGCAGCGAGCTGGCATTCACAGGTGCGTGGCTGTGACAGGTGGGGCCAGGTGGCGGGAGGAGGGCTGGATACGTCCCTGGCCCTGGTGCTAGCTTGCCAGCTGAGAGCTGAGTCTTGCCTGCTCTCCACAGACGTGACCAAGGAAGACAAGGCTTCCAGCGAGTCCCTGCGCCTCATCTTGGTGGTGTTCCTGGGCGGCTGCACTTTCTCTGAGATCTCAGCCCTGCGGTTCCTGGGCAGAGAGAAAGGTGAGAAGGTTGCCAACAGGCTGCTGTGGGTACAGGGCTCAGGTACAAAGGGCAGCGCTCAGGAAGGTTTCTCTGCTGCCTTCTGGGTTTCCCTTGCTGTGGGGTGAAGAGCAGAGAGCCCAGTTCCATTGGGCAGGGCTGTCACTGTGCCCCGAGCATGGTGCTCTGATCCAGCCCTGGCTGCGGAATTGGGGGGGCTCTATGTAGCATGGCTAGTGCTGGGGGCCACCAGTCTGCTCGTACTCACATACGCTGGTGCTTTGGGTCCTCAGGGTACAGGTTTATTTTCCTGACGACAGCAGTCACCAACAGTGCCCGCCTCATGGAGGCCATGGGCGAGGTGAAAGCCTGAAGCTGTCCCTGGACTCTTCCCCAAGGGACACAGGAGGTGGGCGTGCAGCTGCCAACACAGTGGCCCCTGGCCACCCTGCTCGTTGCTGGGGAGCACAGACCTCGTTTGGGATTTAGACCCATCACAGGAGAGAGTTCCCTTTCTGCCCCAGGGTGTTTTCCGTGTTTGTTTATAAAGTACAGCCCTTGCTGGTAGATGTGAAGGAAGATTGTTTTTTTTTGCTTTTGCTAAATCTTGAGTATCGTTGTAAATAAAGCCTCGACTTTCAAATGGAATATGTTTAGTTCTGGACCAGTCCTTCCATCTTTGTCCACGGAGCACCTGGGGGGGTTTCACGTGGGACTTCATGTGCTCCATGGACTGGACTCTCGTGGCTCTGGGCCTGCTCCCGTTCTTCCTTGAAACTTGCCCTGTACTGGAGTTTCCTGAACCATAACATGAGGAGATGGGTTAGAAAGGTATCAGTAAGCACCTTTCCAATTTTAAAATTCTGTGACTCCTTACACTTTTATGCCCCACATTCACCTCTACCCATTGTTTCTACATGCTTCTGGTCCATCCTTTCCTCACCATCCCCATGGCAGGGCTACTGAGTGTTTTTGGCCCGGGTTTTAGCAAGACTGTCCCACTTGCTCTGCCTCCTATCTGTCCCCCAGTCCACAGTGCTGCCACTCATCCAGAAAAATCCAAACCGGTGCTGTTGGGTCATCAAAAATATTTCCCATAGAAGGAGGCTGCTGCGGTTATAGTGCATGTGCCAAGGAAAAGGCACACCTGCAGCGTCCAGCTAGAATTTTGATGGTGCTGTGTCAACTAGTGGCACTGCTGACCGGGCTGTTAGTCTGTAGAAAGACTACGTGGCGAAAAAAGATTCTATGGCCAAGTAAATAAGCAGTGATAGTGCATTGCATTTGCATTCTAGAACCACGCTGCCCAGTAGAAACACAGTAAGTCCCTATAAAAGGGTCCTGCACTTACACAGTGTTTTATTTTATTTACCTATTTTTTTAAAAAATCTCTTTATTGACTTCAGAGAAAGGAAGGGAGAGGGAGGGAGAGATAGAAACATCACTGATGAGAGAGTCATCCATCAGCTGCCTCCTGCACGCTCCCTGCTGGGGACTGAGCCCAAAACCCAAGCATGTGCCCTGACCCGGAATCCAACCCGGATCTCCTGGATCCTAGCTTGATGCCCAACTGCTGAGCCACACCGGCCAAGATACATTACACCGTGTTTTAGACCTTGAATATGTGCTCAGAGTGCCTGCCGTCCAACGAGTCTCTGACTTGGTTAGCTTTAGAGCTACAGCGTGAAGGACACCATTGCAAAATTCTCTTATCTGCACCCTTACCATGCTGGCCCTGGGGTCATGTCTGGAGATCCCAACTTTCTGAAGCTTTCTGAAAAACTCTCAAGTTAACCAGCAAAGTACCCTAAGATTTAAAAGTAGTGCCTGAGGGCCAGGATATTAGTGGGGCAAATGTTTGGCACCCTGTTGACAAAGGATGTTGAAAGCACCAATGAGGTTCTGTGTGTTTTTTTTTAAAGTAACATTTATTTGGAAAGTCCTGGAGGTAGAAGTAATTTGTAGAAGAAATGGGCTTAGGAAACTCGTTGTGGAGGTAAAGGCAGGGCCCTTGGAGCTCAGAAGGGAGGAAGGTAAAGGTGCTGCGCGCACCTCCTGGGAGAGGGGGGAGCGGGGAGGCCTTCCGGGAGTGGAAAATGTCCCGAACTGTAACAAGCGGGCTCCCTTGACTTTCCTTCTGGGAAAGGGCAAGGGAAGGGAATGTCTAGAAGTTGCAGTTGGCCGGGGCCACGGGGAGGACGGGCAGCGTCGGCGGGTCGGAGCAGGGCCCCTGCAAGGCCGGGGCGGGCTCGGCCGGCCCATCCCGCAGCAGCCGGCGCGTGCACAGCAGGCGCAGCCGCGAGCCCGCGATTCTCCCTCGCCCCCAAATTAATACGTAACATTTATTAACAATAAAAGAGCCCGCCCGGCCGGGCGGCTCGGTTGCTCAGAGCTGGTGGGTGTCAGGAGGGCGCAGGTGCCGCTCGCGGCCCGGCCCGGGTTGGTGTTTTCTCTCTCCCTCCGTCTTTCTCCCTCTTAAAGTCAGTTTTAAGCAATAAAACATATCCTCGGGTGAGGATTAAACAAAACATTAAAAACAAAACCGCCCGGGGGCGCGGCAGGGCGGGGTCCAGCGGCCGGAGGGCTCCCCGCAGAGCGCCGCCTGTGGCCGAGCGAGGAAGTGC